GGAGATCTTTCCATCTTCTGAGATCTTCTTAGATTTCTTTCTTTAGAGACTTAAAGTTCTTGTCATATAGATCTTTCATTTGCTTGGTTAGATTCACTCAAACCTATTTTATATTATTTGTGTTTATTGTGAAGGGTGTCATTTCCCTAATTTCTTTCTCAGCCTGTTTATCTTTCGAGTAGAGGAAGGATACAGATTTGTTTGAGTTGATTTTATAACCAGCCACTTTGCTGAAGTTGTTTATCAGGTTTAGGAGTTCTCTGGTGGAAGTTTTAGGGTCACTTAAGTATTCTATCATATCATCTGCAAATAGTGATATTTTGACTTCTTCCTTTCCTATTTGTATCCCTTTGACTTTTTTTGTTGTTGTTGTCTAATTGCTCTAGCTAGGACTTCTACTACTATATTGAAAAGGTAAGAAGAGAATGGGTAGCCTTGTCTAGTCCCTGGTTTTAGTGGGATTGCTTCAAGTTTCTCTCCATTTATTTTGGTGTTGGCTACTGGTTTGCCGTATATTGCTTTTACTGTGTTTAGGTATGGGCTTTGAATTCCTGATTTTTCCAAGACTTTTACTATGAACAGATGATGAATTTTGTCAAATGCTTTCTCAGCATCTAGTGAGATCATCATGTATTTTTTTTCTTTGAGTTTGTCTATATAGTGGATTACATTGATGGATTTCCGAATATTGAACCATCCTTGCATTCCTGGAATAAAGCCTACGTGATCATGAAGGATAATTGTTTTGATGTGTTCTTGGATTCAGTTTGTGAGAATTTTTTGAGTAGTTTTGCATAGATAGTCATAAGGGAGACTGGTCTAAAGTTCTCTTTCTTTGTTGGGTCTTTGTGGGTTTTATGTATGAGCGTGATTGTGACTTCATAGAACAAATTGGGTGGTGTTCCTTCTATTTCTATTTTGTGGAATAGTTTGAAGAGAATTGGTATTAGGTCTTCCTTGTCTGATAGAATTCTGCACTAAAACCATCTGGTCCTAGGATTTTTTTTTTTTTTTTGGTGGGTAGACTTTTAATGACAGCTGCTATTTCTTTATGGGTTATGGGACTGTTTAGATGGTTTATCTGCTCCTGATTTAACTTTGGTACCTGATATCTGTCTAGGAAATTGTCCTTTTCCTCCAGATTTTCCAGTTTTGTTGAGTATAAGCTTTTGTAGTAGGATCTGATGATTTTTTTAATTTCCTCAGTTTCTGTTGTTATGTCTCCCTTCTCAGTTCTGATTTTATTAATTTGGATACTGTCTCTGTGCCCTCTGGTTAATCTGGCTAAGGGTTTATCTATCTTGTTGATTTTCTCAAAGACCCAGATCCTGGTTTTATTGATACTCTGTATAGTTCTTTTTGTTTCTACTTGGTTGATTTCAGCCCTGAGTTTGATTATTTCCCCCTTCTACTCCTCTTGGGTGTATTTGCTTCTTTTTGTTCCAGAGCTTTCAGGTGTGTTGTCAAGTTGCTAGTGTATGCTCTCTCCAGTTTCTTTTTGTAGACACTTAGAGCTATGAGTTTTCCCCTTAGCACTGCTTTCATTGTATTTCATAAATTTTGGTATGATGAGCCTTCATTTTCATTAAATTCTAAAAAGTCTTTAATTTCTTTATTTTTTTCTTCCTTGACCAAGTCATTATTGAGTAGAGCGTTGTTCAGTTTCCACCTTGTTCAGTTCAGTGTATGTGGGCTTTCCATTGTTTTTGTTATTATTGAAGACCAGCCTTAGTCCATGGTGATCTGATAGGATGCAAGGAATTATTTCAATCTTTTTGTATCTGTTGAGGCCTGCTTTGTGACCAAGTATATGGTCTATTTTGGAGAAAGTACCATAAGGGGCTGAGAAAAAGGTATATTCTTTTGTTTTAGGCTGAAATGTTCTATAGATATCTATTGAATTCATTTGGTTCATAACTTCCGTTAATTCCACTGTGTCTCTGTTTAGTTTCTGTTTCCATGATCAGTCCATTGCTGAGAATGAGGTGTGAAATCCCCCACTATTATTATGTGAGGTGCAATGTGTGCTCTGATTTTTAGTAAAGTTTTTTTTTATGAATGTCAGTATCATTGCATTTGGAGCATAGATGTTCAGAATTGAGAGTTCATCAAGGTAGATTTTTCCTTAGATGAGTATGAAGTGTCCTTCCTTATCTTTTTTGATAACTTTTGGTTGAAAGCCGATTTTATTCAAAATTAGAATAGCTACTCCAACTTTTTTCTTGGGACCATTTGCTTGGAAAATTGTTTTCCAGCCCTTTACTCTGAGGTCGTGTCTGTCTTTGCCACTGAGGTTCATTTCCTGTATGCAGCAAAATTCTGGGTCCTGCTTATGTATCCAGTCTGTTAGTCTATGTCTTTTTATTGGGGAATCGAGTCCATTGATGTTAAGAGATATTAAGGAAAAGTGAGTTTTACTTCTCGTTATTTCAGTTATTAGAGGTATAATTATGTTTGTGTAGCTATCTTCTTTTGGGTTTGTTGGAAGATTACTTTCTTGCTTTTTCAATGTTGTAGTTTCTCTTCTTGTGTTGGAGTTTTCCGTCTATTATCTTTTGTAGGACTGGATTTGTGGGAAGATATTGTATAAATTTGGTTTTGTCATAGAATATCTTGGTTTCTCCATCTATAGTGTTTGAGAGTTTTGCTGCGTATAGTAGTCTGGGCTGGCATTTGTGTTCTCTTAGAGTCTGTATGATATCACTCCAGGATCTTCTGGCTTTTATAGTCTCTAGTGAGAAGTCTGGTGTAATTCTTATAGGTCTGCCTTTATATGTTACTTAACCTTTTCCCCTTACTGCTTTTAGTATTTTTTCTCTATTTTGTGCATTTGATGTTTTGATTATTATGTGACAGGAGGAATTTCTTTTCTGGTCTAGTCTATTTGAAGTTCTGTAGGCTTCTTGTATGTTCATGGACATCTCATTCTTTAGGTTAGGAAAGCTTTCCTCTATATTTTTGTTGAAGATATTTACTGACCTTTTAAGTTGGGAATCTTCACTCTCATCTATACCTATTATCCTTAGGTTTGATCTTCTCACTGTGTCCTGGATTTCCTGAATGTTTTGGGTTAGGAGCTTTTTACATTTTGCATTCTCTTTGACAGTTGTGTCAATGTTTTCTGTGGTATCTTCTGCACATGAGATTCTCTATTCTCTCTCTTGTATTCTGTTGGTGATACTTGCATCTATGACTCCTGATTTCTTTCCTACGTTTTCTATCTCCAGGGTAGTCTCCCTTTGAGATTTCTTCATTGTTTCTACTTCCATTTTTAGATCCTGGATGGTTTTGTTTAATTCCTTCATCGGTTTGGTTGTGTTTTCTTGCAATTCTTTAAGGGATTTCTGTGTTTCCTCTTTAAGGGCTTCTACCTGTTTACCTGTGTTCTCCTGTATTTCTTTAAGGGAGTTGTTTATGTCCTTCTTAAAGTCCTCTGTCATCTTCATGAGAAGTGATTTTAAATCTGCGTCCTGCTTTTCTGGTGTGATGGGGTGTCCAGGACTTGCTATGGTAGGAGAACTGGATTCTGATGATGCCAGGTAACTTTAGTTTCTGTTGCTTATATTCTTGCACTTGCCTTTCGCCATCTGGTTAACTCTAGTGCTACCTTCACTCCCTGTCCCTGACTGGAGACTGCCTTTCTAATTATCTTGTTTGTGTCAGAACTCCTCAGAGTTCAGATGTCTCTGTGATTCTGTGATCCTGAGCTCCTGGATGGAAGAGCTCCTGGGACTCAGGCTTCCTCTGGGATCCTGAAATTCTGCCTCCAAGTGCAGTGGTTCTTCTGCTGCTCTGAGTTCACTGGTTCCTCAGCTGCTCTGAGTGCAGTGGTTCTATGCTGCGCAGTGGTGGCGCATGCCTCTAATCCCAGCACTTGGGAGGCAGAGGCAGGCAGATCTCTATGAGTTCAAGGCTGGCCTGGTCTACAAAATGTTTCAAGACAGCTGGGGTGAAACTAAATTCTACACAACCAGTATAATCTGAAAAACCCTTTCTATCTGGGTTGCTACTCAAGAGTGCTGCACACACTCAAAAGATCCACAATCAAAATGAATCTTCTTATATCAATCAAGATAATCCAGACAGCTCTCCAGGTAAAGTTCCCTACTTAGGTGATTCTAATTTGTGGCAGGTTAACATTAAAGCAAAGAGGAATTAGCACACATTCGTCTCAGTCCTTCCTCATTACCGATTTCCTGGGTCAGAGGGGTCTTGGATATTTGAGGATCCAAAGTATATCAAGCAGTCTCCCCCTTCTTCCCATAGCTAGCCATCCAGTCAATGTGAATGTCTAGTTCCCCTAGGGATCAGCAGGTGACTGTCCATTTCTTATTCTGACACAAATAATGATGGTGGATTTTTCTAGTCGTTTATGTTATTCTCTATGAAACAAAGCAGTTAAGTGCATTGATCTCTTAAGCTTTTCTAGTGTAAAGCCTGATGATAAAATTATTTATTATCTTAAGAGAAAATACAAAATTGTGATTTTAATGATTCTGAAATTCTTTGAGGGTTTATGAACAACAAGATGCCAAAGGAAGAAGGAATGACTTTATCTAGGATCTATTCTCAGAGCAGGCTTACTAACCACACAGTGTTACAGTGAATCCTGCTGGAACTGCCTCCAGAAATTGTCTTGCTCTTTGCCATCCCTGGGGAATCACTCTTCCCTGTGGGTGGTGAGTGCTCCTGGATGACATGCAGTCTTCAGCCTTCAGTGAGCCCCTGGGTGGGTACGGGCATGGGTGGGGCACACATGGGGGGCACGGGTGATACAGGAGGACATGGGAGGGGGGATGAACATGGACATGAGACAGGGGAGGGGGAAGGAACACTGTGTTCTTAGGAACTGTCCAAAGCCAGATCTCTCTCTCTCTCTCTCTCTCTCTCTCTCTCTCTCTCTCTCTCTCTCCCACACACACACACACACTCCCACAGGGCTCTTCTGGACTGGAAACTGTGGGAACCTCTGTTACAGACTCATTTTCTCTCTTCCTCAGAAACTGCACCCCTATCCGTGGTTTCCCTTCAGCCTCCATGGACTACCTTCTTTCGAGGAGAGACTGTCACTCTGACTTGTAATGGATTTGGATTACCCCAGAAAACAAAATGGTACCAGAAAAACAAAACATTGAGGCAAACCCAAGGTGTTTTGGTGGGTAAAGCACCTACCTTAATGGTCCGTGAGTCCGGAGAGTACTGGTGTCAAGCCAACAGCTTACCTCCAAGCACACCCGTGCACTTAGTCTTTTATAAAGAAGGTGAGACGGAAGTGAAAGAACTGAAGCTTCAGATACCATTTCTGTCCAATTTTCCCTGTAGATTATGTTACTATTTACCACAAACAACTCATGAACAAGCCATTCTATTTCATGCTACGGTTACAGAGAGATTAAAAATCCCTATGGAGAACCAGATATGGTACAAAATTAGCCTAAGTTTAAACATAAAAATTAATAAAATTTAAATAGTCTGAATAAAGTCTATTCAGCCTAGTAGGCAGTGACTTCAACTAGTGCATACAGAAGGTCATAACTGTCAGTAACAGCTAACTGAGTTCTAAATACACTCACTACGATCCCTGTGGTCCTTAAAGTCTAGCATGAGTCAGAAAACTTGGGCAGCTTTGTGACCTGTATTTATGAACTCAAATCTTGAAATTATTGAGCCCCAAGAATATGTAGTATTTATAAACTGCTCGTGTAAATGAAATTTGAGAAGCAATTTATTTGAATGCGTCTTGAATCCATTTTGTTTATTTGGAATAGTAAGTGTCATAAGGACTTGCGCTTGTGCATACACACGCACGTGCCTGTGTGTGCGTGTGTGTGTAAATGTTAGATAGATAGAAACAAATGGATTGATTTTTATGGATACACAAAGAGAGGAAGGGGGAGAAAAGGTAGAGAGGCAAGAGGGAGGGGGAGGAATGGAGGGAAGCAAGAGGGAGGGGGAGAAAGAGAGGGAGGCATATATATTTCTTTTTTGGTCTTGAAGCCCTCTGTTTTAAAGTTGAAGTAGTATCAGCCTAGTAAAAATAGCCTTTGATTGTGTGAGCAAGAAAACACATTATTAACAAGGAAAGAAAAAAAGTAATGCTCTTTGACCTCATGATTCCCTTGAACATTTCCTACCAAAGCTCATAAATCTACACACCCCAAAATAAAGGACACTTGATTGAACAGGAGATCTCATTAAATGATTTTGAGAGTATTGAGAGAAAATTGTGGCTTCTGAAAATTTAGCTGCAGTAATGGTTCACATAGAAGGGGCACTAGTGAAACGACAGGCGAGTCTGCAAGTAGATACGAGTCGTTAAAATCCCCTAAGAACGAAAGACGTACAGAAACTCTGGTATACAAACATGGGAGAAGGAACTCGAAGACTGCGTTCACAATGATGCGGGGAGCTTTTTAACTTACCTTCTGCTGTCCAGCATTTCTCAAAGTGAAGGTGTTTAAGCTCAGAAAGAGAGTTGATGCTTTCTCCACTCCCACTTCCTGTAAAGCCTACTTAGAATGGCAACAAGAGGGACCAAGGAGAGGGAACCAAGTGGTGGGTCTGGTGTGTTCCAAGTGGTGGGCCTGGTGTCTTCACAGTTTCCCTGGTACTGCGAGCTCCACCTCCTGTGTTCGAAGGAGACTCTGTGGTGCTGAGGTGCGACACAAAGCGAAGCATAGCAGCAGAGACCCTGACATTTTACAAGAACAATCGAGCTCTGGAATTACCTCATCCTAGTTCTGAGCTCCATATTCGTCATGCAAATCTGAAGGACAACGGTCAATACAAATGCTCTAGGAAGTCGACGTGGGCTTGGGGGAGCGTCATTTCTTCCAATACAGTCGAAGTTCAAGTCCAAGGTATGGCTTTAATTATTCTGAACAGGTTAATCAGAGGCAGGCTTCCTATGGTTATAGAGGTAGAATAGGAAGAAAGGGTGGGCTGCCAGTCCATTGAGCAGAAGCACAAACAATCTTTGGGTAGAAGGATGCTGGTAATCAAAAGCAGCACCTCCCTCTAGCCAGCGCCTGGGGAGTGGTACCACTCCATACATCGGTCCTGAGGATGAAAGGGGGCTTTCTGCGGTGTACTTACCTGCTCAGTGAACGATTGTGATCCTTTCTTTCTAGAGTTGTTCCCACATCCTGTGCTGATGGCCAGACCTTCCCAACCCATAGATGGAAGCCCAGTGACCCTGACCTGTAGAACCCAGCTCTCTGCACAGAGGTCAGATGCCCAGATCCAGTTCTGTTTCTTCAGAAACTACCAGGCTCTGGGATCAGGCTGCAACAGCTCCTCAGAGTTTCACATTCCTGCCATATGGACTGAAGATTCAATGTGGTACCGCTGCAAGGCAGAAACAAAGAATTCTCAAGTTGAAAAACAAAGTAGAGCATTCAAAATTCCAGTGCAGAGTGAGTATCATTCTGAGATTTTTTTCCAGGCATGGAAGCTATTTAAAAGCATACACAGTTTGGGTTACTAGCCTCTATAGAAAGTATTTTCTCATGCCTGTGCAAGTTATATGAGAGAAAATACTCAGCTGTTGTAGATATCCCTGATGAGCTTAGAACCAAGAAAGAAAAACAAGACAACAAAAAACATGTTCATTTTTTTTCTCTCGATGCCTTTAGATAAAGGCATTTCTGGTCTCAGTCTGACATAAGTTTTCCTTCCAATGCTATGATCCTGAACTGTGTACTATGAGGTGTTGTGTATAGCTTTTGTTACTCACCATAACTCCGGGAACGGGCCTCAATACCAGCTCCTGCTCAGCTTCCCTTGAATCCACAGATAAAACACACACACACATACACAGTTGTTCGTTTTCAACTTGCCTTTTAGGCACAATTGCCAGGCATTATTAAACTCCTGCTACTAATGTGCCCTTATCAATATTCTTAGCTCAGAATCTCTCACCTGCCCTAAACTTTAGTTGCTCTATTAAATATAGTCCCTGCTAAACATCCCTGACCACCTGCCTGTAGGAGCAGCCTGTGTAGCCACTCCATTTTGAGATCTCACATGACCTGTCAACTTTTCTCCAGCAGAAGCATAGTTAACTCTCTCTTCCCTTTCATCTATCTCTTTCCTCCAGTGACTCAGAAGTCCCGCCTATTCCTTCCACCCAGCAATTGTCCCATGGCTTTTTACTGACAGATCAAGAACCAGTTGGGGAACAGGACAACATCAGAACCATCCCTACAATGGGGTCAGCCCTCAAACTGGGCTGAATGTTCGGCTCAGTCAAAAAGACAGGTTTCCAGAACAGGAGGTGCCTAATGCAGACTGCTTTAGGACAAGACAGCCAAAAGATGAAGTCTTCGGAAATAAGCAGATCCATCTTGATGCCCTTAGAGATGGTGTAGTAGGGGACACGTAGTCTAGAACACCTAGATGCTGGGTGTGGAGCGAAGGGAAGTAAGAGCATTACCTATGACTTTCCTCCCTTTGCTAAGAAACCAATCTGACTGACAAAACTCTATCAGTCTACTCTTCTGTTGTAAGAAATGGGTGCACCTGTGGCTACTGATTTAAAGATGAACAGTTCAGAGAGGAAAGAGAGGGCATATCCAACAGTCGCATCACAGTTATTCCTAGCACAGTCTTTCCTTCATCCTAACTGCTGAACCACACACATTCCCATCCTCTAGTCAACTATCATATTTTGTTCTTCAAGACTGGAGAATAATCCAAAATGCACTGTCCTAAGACAATATGCCTAAAACTCTTCCCAGGATGGACAATCCTTCTTTGTGAGTCGATCCTGGACTCAAACTCCTTGCTTGTCTGACAGGTACACTAGAGAAGTTAAGAAGTGCCAACTGAAGGCCAGCTTATTACTCATGACAATTCTTCATTTCCAGTCAAACGCTACTGACACTGTACTCAGGGCCATCATATTTGATGCCAAGTCTCCTGTTTCCCTCCTCCACTTTTCCTAAGTGTTGAGCCCTGGGTAACAACTCTGGAATTATCAGGATAAGGTAGACATGAGGTCAAGTTGGGCAGAATAACCTTCTCCATATCCTTGACAAGGCCCTCAGGAATGTAGGGCCTTTTCAGCTGGCAGAAAAGTCTCCACTGTCTTCTCACTTCCCAGAGACAAGCCTAACATTACTCTAGGGCCCCTTCCCACATGGTAAAACAGGTTTTGTCTTTCCACCCTTCACCCATGAGCATGCCATTGCCAAAAGTCCCACACATGTCATTCTTATTCATTTAGGAGCTTTGGCGGACTTCCAAACAAGCATCATCCCAGCCTCAAAGTTGATGTTTGAAGGGCAGTTGCTGTTACTCAACTGCTCAATAAAAGGAGTCCCAGGGCCCCTCACATTCTCCTGGTATAAAAGGGATGTGCTGAATAAAGAAACAAAGATTCCTAAGTCCTCAGAAGCAGAATTCAAGATCTCCAAAGTGAACATCAGCGACGCAGGGGAGTATTACTGTGAAGCTAACAACAGCCGCCGAAGTTTTGTCAGCAGGGCAATTCCCATCACCATAAAAGGTGTGTGTTGCCAGGTATCATCTGAGGAATGGATTCCCCACATTACACATGGATTTCCCACATTGCACATGGAGATCCTTAAGGAGGACTTGAGACAGTCAAGTGGAAGTAGATGTTGTCGATTACCAATAATTCAATGTTCTGAACAACCTGTCAAGCATTAGAAAATACTTAGAAATAGACAGAACAAGCTGAGGGCAGTGAGAATTCTCAGAACATCAGGAAAATGCTCAGTAATTAGGAACATACCCTTTGTAAATTACAAATCCTCCTCGGTTAAAATGAAATGGCTCTTATAAAGGAGGAACAGATGGGATGCTAGAAGTAGTGTATCTTGGGAAATGCCTCCTGACATCTTACTGTAAACAGAAGGATTCTCAGGGACTTACTCTGACCACACTGCACGTCTTCAAACCCCAGTTGGTTACTTCTTCCCACCCCTGGTCTCCTACAATGAGATGCTATGGAGAATACAGTACAGCTTCACCAAGAGGCTGAAGGCCTCTCCCTCTGGCCCAACACCTACCTGTTAGTTTTAACATGAGACTGAAATCCTAAGGCTCTTGAACCTCAACACATCTCTCCATTCTCTGAGAACTTGCAAAATTATTCCCATGTCCAGGCAATGGAGCAAGGAGAAGCTATTGTCCATCAGAAGTAAGCAACCTCCAGAAGTCATATACAGGGTCAGGTTGCATACTCCTAACAGGCTACAGTTACCATCCACAGAACCTACCCTCCTCCTGCTCAGCTTCTAATATTCTGATAGAATGGATGGTTTGGGGTACCTGGAAGAAGGTAGTACCTGAGGAGAGCATCCTGCAAGAGTATGTGAAATTTAGAAGGTTAAAGATCCTGGAGCAAAGCACTGAAGCTACCCTAAGCAGAGAAATAGAGAACAGAGACTGACACAGAGGCTTAAGACTCAGGAGAGGAAATGGGTCACAAAGGAGCAAAGAGCTGACTGAGGAAAGGGTGTCAGTCCTATGGCAGCAAAATACAAACTTCTCCCCTGAAGGTACCATCTCTGTAAAATTAAGGAAAGTTGGCTAACAAGGGAAGCCAGGAGGGACAAGGCAAACTGGAAAGGAATAGATAAAAGACCAGCATGGAAGTCAGGAGATTGCTGGTGTCCAGTCTGGAAGGTTGAGCTATCCCAAGATCTGGTAGAATGGAGACCAGGCATTTGCATTAGAACAAAATAGAAGTAACTGTCAACCCACTTTATTTCCTCCAGTCCCAGTGTCTCAACCAGTTCTCAACCTAAGCACCGGCAAGACCCAGGCCCTTGAGGGAGACTTGATGACACTTCATTGTCAATCCCAGAGGGGCTCTCCATATATCCTGTATGAGTTCTACTATGAGAATGTCTCCCTGGGGAACAGCTCTACACTCTCTGGAGAAGGAGCATCCTTCAATTTCTCTATGAGCACAGAGCGATCTGGAAACTACTACTGCACAGCAGACAATGGCCTGGGAGCCCAGCGCAGTGAGGCTATATGGATCTCTGTCTTTGGTAAGTCCTGGGTTCCTGCTGATACCCATTGCTATACAGATTTCCCTCTCACCAAACCCTTTTGAAAGTTTGCCCCCAACACCTTTATTTCCTACCATAATCACCTCAGCCCTGTTCTAGGTTCCTTTCTCAGCCAAACTCATTGTCTGTGCTTATCCATCCCTCAATAGGCTCAGAAACCTCCACAGCCTTTAATAAATGTGTGTGGTCATCTCATGCTGTCTTCTTGTGCCCTGTGATGTTTAGTTCCCAAGCTAACTGCGTCAACAGAGTCATCCAGTTCTCTACAAGCACTTATCAACTTCTCTACAGAACAGTGGAGCGAACAAATACTATGCAAGACCTTAGTTTTTCCAGAGTTCCAAGTAATAACAACTCTCAGCATAGGTTGGGGGAAGACTGGATTTGAAAGAGCAGGAGAAAATGGCTTCCTTGTGAAATGTGTTTCTTAATTTTCTAGGGTTCTCATGAGCCTCTTTCTAGAAGCCCATTTAAACAAATATAAGTTTACTGCATGATGTAGTTTTCTAGACCTTTGTTAGAGGGTGACAGGATATGTGTCAGATCCAAAAGAATGACTAACTGTGGTGCCTATTAGCATACCAAAGTGCATGATGGCCATTAGGGTCCCTGAGTAAGTGTCTGTTAGAGTCCTACGCTGGCCCCTGGCTTCTCTCAGTTCTCCTCACCCCACCCCCTAACCCTAAACTTCTCCAGCCCATGAGTTTCCCCTCCCCCAGCATCTTATGTCTATATATAACCCTGCCATTTGGCCATGCACTCTCTTGGCTCTCTTTATCCTTTTGGCTCGTGGCTCTCTCTTGGTCTGTGTACCCCTCTCTCTTTTGCCCCCCTTTCTTGGTCCTCCTTTCTTGCTTCTCCTCCCCTCCTCTCATGGCCCAGTTCACTCTGATGGCCATATGTAGCCCACTACTTTCTCTCCCTGCTTTGAACTCTTCAAGATGTCTTTGGCTGTGCTCTCTCTCATAACTACAACCAACCAATCAGTTCCCCTCAGGCACACCTTAGATCAGTCATATCCTCACTTCGTTCTATACAGATCATGGTTGGTCATTGTCAAGGCCACTAGTTAACATCACAATGGAGCCACTTACTGGACAAATGTGCTTGTTATTTCACATGAATCTTTGTTTAGAAGAAAGTAAAAATCCAGCTGCTTTTGTTTTGTTTTGTTTTGTTTTGTTTTGTTTTGTTTTGTTTTGTTTTCCAAAGCAGTATAACAGCATTGTAGAAAAATACTGAGTCTGATACATCAGCGATACATCAGACATGTATCCTTTGTAACACAAGGAAAAAGAGGCCCAGGAGTCCTGGGTAGGTGAGAATTTTCTGTAATGCTGTCTTGAGAGTAAAGAAAATAAGAAAGACAGCATAGGCAATTCAGGGAAGAACTAGAAGATTTCTCACAGTAGGATATATTTCTTTCTCAAAATAGGATTGTTGGGTTTTTGTGGGGTTTTTTTTTTTGTAAAGTCTGAGGATATGAAAGCTTACATTATGAGGATTCAAGAAAGTGTTTTAGAGTCTAAGTTAGGTGTGTAAATGCAAGTTATAAAGATTAGAGGATGTGAAAGCTTAAAGAGTGGTAAAAAGTGAGTTACGGTATATAAAAGGGATAAAAGTGCTTCAGATTTCTTTCCCTTGATAAGCTACTGTTGTATTAAGACTTCAAAATTTCAGAATTTTGACGTTGATCAATGGAGTTCTGATATTATCACAGACACAAGCTCAGGATTTTAAGTTTCTTTTGGTTGTCTTCAAGTATAGATTTAAAAGTGCTTCTCATTGTACTAACTTTATACACACACATCCAGTCTCTGGATACAGGGAAGAAGCCCCTCTTTCGTGGTTTGTAGTCATCTGAAAATCAAGATCAAGCAACCTTTTGCCCTTTCTGCTCCACGGAATGTTTCTGTTTTCCCTGAGCTTACCTTAAAAAGTATTCATGCTCTTAACCCCCCAACCCCCCCCCAAAAAAAACCTGTTTCCCAAGCTTCTACTATGACACAAAGGTGTGAGTATGTGAGTTTCAGTATAGATTACAAGCAATGGTAATGCGAACATGTCTAAAACTTATCGCTTTTTGGAAACGTTAAAAAAAAAATAGACTGTAGTAAATTCCAAGGAATCAACTTGAATCCATCTCTCATGGGTCAAATGGACTCCAGCTAAATACCCAGGCCAGTCAACAGCCTAAGATTCCCCACCCATTGCCTATTCCAGAGGGTGGGGTCCCTCATCCTTTCCCTGCTTTTGGGATTCCCCTCCCTCAGCTACCAAGACCATGGGCATAAAAGTCTCAAATGTGCACAAGAAAAAAAATCCCCCCAAACTCCTTTTTTTTTAAATATATATAATTTTTTTTCAAATTGTAATTTATACTCATTCACACAGGGGTTATAAACACAAAAAAGCAGGACGTGGGGAAGGGGATGACACTGGAGCGTGGGTGTTCAGGGGAAATACAGATATTTTTCAGAACAGGGTATCGGCTGGGTGAGGGTTCAGGGAACAGGTCACTATGACTCTGTCTATGATTCACTTGTCCTTATCTAAATTGGTAATATCTGCCAAGGCTACCTATTTACAAGGTCTATCACTACTCAGGCTGGTAAATTGTCACAAAAACTTCCTGTTTACAATAGCTTATAGCCATCTGTTTCAGTGTTTATCCACAGAGACCAAGACTTGGTGGTTGTATACATATATGACAGGCCTATTGCTGATTTTAGGCCTATGGCTGATTTTAGGCCTTCAGTGTGTAAGCAGGAATGTCCCTGACATCTCCTCCCTTCTCTAAGTATAGAAGGGCTGTGGCGAATCTAATCTTGCGAAGGCGGGGATAGAGGCCTGACCTCCAGTAATTGAAGGGGACCTTGTAATGGCTCTGGTTCCCCTGATGTTGTCCAGTGAGGCATGAGGGCCATACACATCCCGATGTCTTTTTCCTGGAGAGGGGATACTTTTGACATCAACCCCTATGTAGTCAGGCTTGTCCCTCAGGGAACCCAGAGAGATATTTTTAACTTTTATTGATATTCCCTTGCAGTGCTTAGCATCGCAGCCTAAGCAAGAATTCAGATCACCAGTCAGAGGGGGTTCTGGGTGGCCCCTCTCTGCTTGGTCTAGGGGCGGAAGTCCCCTCTTCTAGGTTGGGTGGAGATGGGTTTTGGGAACACCCTGGATAGAGTAACAACCTCATCTTGGGTCTCATGGTCCTCCATAGCTAACTTATAATAATGTATCTGAATAGGTTTTGCTACCAAATTATTTATCTGTTGTTTCACAGAGTTAGTCAGCCTATTTGAGGCCCAGGGACCAGAAGAAATAAGCAAAAAGAACCCAATTAATGGTCCCAAGATGAGAGGAAGTAGGGTTGACAACCCTGGAGAGGTTGAAAACCAATTCTTGTACCAGCACTCATCTTTCTCTTTCTCTCTCTGACTTTTCTCAGGGCCTTCTCTGACCTTTTTCATGCTCTCTTTAACCATCCCTGTCTTGTCTACGTAAAGGGAATATCCTTCTTTAAGGGCTGTACACAGTCAAGAGCTGTACACAGCCTTTTCTATTATAATAGAGTAAATCAAGTCCAATAAGGATCTTTTTGATTTTTGGAGGTCTCTTCAGACAGCGAAACGAGAGATTTCTTCAGATTAGTGATGTCAATCTCTAGCTGTTTGATGTTCTTGTCAATGGCCCTTTGAAGGTCTGAGTAGTATAAGTTCGGAGGCTAGCATCTGGATTAGAACTTCTAACAGCAGACATCACGGGTGATACATTTTTACCTGGAAAGGAAAAAGGAGGGAATTCTCAGGGAGATTTCTCTTCCCTGGATGTAAATTGTTATTCATTTTATTTATGATTGGGCCTGGCTTTGTGGGGTTATCTATTTATTTCATTAATCTTTTTGGTAGCCAATTAGCTGTGCCTTCTGTGGTATCAAACAGGCATATCAATCCTCGGCCCCATAAGAGAACTGGGTCTGGGACATTCCCTTTATGGGTAAGAGGGTCCTTCCCCATATCTGTGGCATAATTTTTATTGGTCTTGGTGATGCCAGAGGCAGTCAGCAGCAGATTTGCCATGAGCTTTCAGTTTTAGAGAGTTAAAGGTGAACAAGGCATGATGGAGAGTATTTCAGGGGGACTCCTTCTAAAATATAGAGGAAACATTCCTTTCTTTCTTTCTTTCTTTCTTTCTTGCTTTCTTTCTTTCTTTTTTTTTTCTTTTTTTGGTTTTTCGAGACAGGGTTTCTCTGTATAGCCCTGGCTGTCCTGGAACTCACTCTGTAGACCAGGCTGGCCTCGAACTCAGAAATTCTCCTGCCTCTGCCTCCCAAGTGCTGGGATTAAAGGTGTGTGCCACCACCGCTCAGCTTCCCCCCAAACTCCTTAACTTTACTTTCTGTGTGTGTGTGTGTGTGTGTGTGTGTGTGTGTGTGTGTGTGCATTCTAGCAGATTTCCAATCAAAGACTGCAAGCTGCTCCAACCACTACCCAGATGGTCTTGCAGAGCCAAGACACAACCTGCTCTTCCCAGACTTGACCAGCGTTTCAGTTTTTTAGGTCCCAGTAATGATGCCTCAATGACAGTATTGAAGTGCCACTTAGTGACCCACCTGCTCCACTCCAGGCCCACTCCAGTCCAGCTTCATGCCTTTCTATTGTTTGATGAAGATCAAATCTGTAGCAGGGCCAGTCCTGACTGAATGTCCAGCCTTCTACTTCATCACAGTTACTGGGCCTGTCAGACTGCTGTCCTACCCTCTGCAGCAATTCAAACAGACCAGCCAACTTGCCTGTCCTCAGTCACTGCACAACTGCCAGCCTCATAACCTATACATAGTCCTTCCATATTGGATCTGGCCCCTTTCCACTGCAGGTTCTGGCATGTTCTCTCAAGCCCATCTTTTTCTCTTCTAGTAATTCTCATCTCTCAAATTCCCAGCTTTCGGTTGTGTCTTCATTCTCATATTCTGCAAACAGGTTTGTGTTTATGTGTCAGGTACTTCAGAGTATACACAACACTATGCAAACATTCTCACTTCCCACAATTTGGATAAATAAATTATAGATGAGCTCTGAAGAACCCGAGAAGGCCACTAAAGACTATTAATGACATTTTGCAGGCAGAAATGCCTTTAGTGTGGAGGGCTGTGTTCAAATAGAAGAAACCAATGGCTAGTTCATCTCCCTCAGTTCCAGGGTCCCACCCTGCCCTAATCTCAGACCTTCCTTGGGGCCCAAGCTGTAGTGGGGGACATGGGGAAGCTAAACTGTGAGACCTGGGAAGGCTCCCTTTCCTAGTCTTGTACCATTTTTGCCTGAAGATGTCACCCGGGGGAGCAGGTCAGCCCTCTCTGAAATAAGAGAGTCCTTCCACTTCTATCTGACTATGGAATGCTTAGAGAATAGAGTAGCTCTACTCCAGTGAGGCTGACAATATCCCAGAAGCTTCTACTGAAGTTTCGTTTCCATTCAGTTCCAGTGTCCCTTCCTTGTCCTCACACTCAGGATGTCGGGAGCTCAGGCTGTGTTAGGTAATATGGTAGAGCTTCATCGTGAGTCTCTGAGAGGCTCTCCCCCAAATCCTGTACCAATTTTATCACACACACACACACACACACACACAAATGTTACCCTGAGGAACATCTCAACTCCCTCTAGAGAAGGAGTCTCTGTCAACATCTCTCTGACTCTGGAACATTCTGGAAACTTCTGTGAGGCTGACAGTGGCCTTAGGGTACACACTTTTCATCACTGACAAATATGCTTCAACACACAGTGCTCACCATGGCTGACCAGGTAAGCGCTTCTCTCTCTTTCTCTTCTCTCTCTCTCTTTCTCTCCCTTGGTTTTTTTTTTTTTTTCAAGACAGGGTTTCTCTGTGTCGTCCTGGCTGTCCTGGAACTCACTCTGTAGACCAGGCTGGCCTCAAACTCAGAAGTCTGCCTGCCTCTGCCTCCCAAGTGCTGGGATTAAAGGCGTGCACCACCACTGCCCGGCCTTTTTATATCTTTTTTTCTTTTTTTAAGAAAGTGCTTCTCAAAGACAAGTCCTTGAGCCGATGGCTCTCTAAACCATTGTGTTTTGAAGTGACTCCTAATTGATGCAGGAGATCCAGGCTTAAAGAGCATCTCGGAACTTAAAATCATCAGCTGGCTCCTCCTTCTCTCTCTGGTCACAATCTGTCTTGACTCTTGCCTTTCCTTGGGCATAGAGACAAGCTTTCTCACAAACAAATGAGCCATCATCTGCGCCACATCTATCACTACTTAGCCTCGATACTCCTGGTCACAAAGATTCTTCTCCTCCCCAACACCAAAACATCAAATTCAAGACTCAGAGCCACTCAAAACTATCCATCCTTTCCTGGGTTTATGCTTGGGTATCCTCTGCCCCTCAGACATGACAAAGAACAGAACTGTTCCTGTGGCCACTGGAATCACTGTGGGACTGCTCATCATGGCTGTTGGAGTGTTTCTGTTTTATTGCTGGTTCTCTAGAAAATCAGGTGGGTGGTTTCCTAATCATATCCTTCCTGTCTCTGTTCCTGCATACTCACACTGACTATGTGACCATCTCTAGGCTCTCTAGAACGCCTCCTCTTCCATCACATGATCCCTTGCCTTTCCCTCTAGGTCCTTCAGAAGTCCTGTTTACCAAATACAAAGTTGTTCTAATAGCTACATGAGGACAACATACCTCGATGAGATGCATATTTCTCTAACCTCAGAAAGGCCAAAGGCTCTCCTCTGTGTGTTCATAAGATTCCTCAAGGAAGGAGAAGAGAAAGGCTCTAAGAAATTGAAGTCAGAACAGAAACCAAATGGGATTTGGTAGATTACTGGTCTTTAAAATGTTCAGTATTTTTATAGATGATCAAGTCCATTTTCTAAGACTAATGAACTATCTACAATCATTAAAGACCACTGTCTTTGAAAGTCCAGGTTAAAGGAGGATGGACTGAGGTTGAGGGAGGATGGACTGGGGTTGAGGGAGGATGGACTGAGGTT